TAAATAAACTGTGATAATCTGTTATTTCAAAAAGTGCGACTTATTTTTCTTCAGTTAAAAAACAAAATAAAATAAAATAAAATAAAATAAAATAAAATAAAATAAAATAAAATAATAAAAGTCAGTGAGGCCACAGATCCAGACTGAGGTTCTGGACCTGGAACACAGGACTCACTCTGGGTTTACTGCCCCCGGTGGCTCCGGGTCGGATGGAACCGGTCTCCTGGTACCTGCACAGGATTTTGGACACGCAGCCGTGGGAGACCCGCAGCTGGCGGGAGATGACGCAGGGCCGGACCCCGTGGTGGGCCAGCTCCACGATCTTGTGTCGGATGTGGTTCGGAAGAGGCCGGCCGTTAATGAAGACCCCTCCGAGCTGGTTCACCCGGCCCTGGCCCAGAGGAGTCGGTACTGTTGCACACAGAACCACGGACAGAAAAACAACAAGACTGATGTTATTTGTGTAGAAGCTCCGGTTCTGTTGGGTTTCTGCATCAGAACCTATGATTTACAGATGAGAGTTTCGCTTTAAATCAGAACCTTTAGTTCTTTTATCTCTGGATAAAAAGAAGTCCAATTCAACTCAACAAGCGTGTTTGAACAAATAAAAAATCTGTTTAAATATAGAAAATATTTTTTTTCCACTGGACCACTAAAAGCCATTTGGGAGGACCAGCCGAATCCATCAGGTTTTTTATTTATTTATTTATTTAAACTTATATGATGTTTGTATCCTGATATTTTTCAGTCTCGTTACTCCCACTGCGGGGTACTGCAGGTCTGGGTTCTGCAGGTTTTTGGTCCTGGTCTGGGTTCTGCAGCTGCACAGCCAGACGCCGTCAGAAGCTTACCTTCTAGGTGGAATCCAATTCGGGAATGGTTCTGTCCCGTGGCTGGGTGCATCATCCGCGGTACCGGGTTCTGATGAAGATGATGTCAAATGAGTCCAAAGACGTCCGTAAGGATCCAGGTTCAGAGCGGACTTGTTGGTCACGTGAGTCTGAAGCCTGCAGACCGTCCTCACTGGGTTCTGTTCACACAGACCTGTTCTGTTCTACTGCTGCCAGCATTGGACCGACACCGAGCTCCTCTGTATACTGGGCGGGATCAGGACGGCGGGTCGCAGGATGGGCCTGCAGGTTCTGAGAGTTTGTTTTTAAAATAAAGGTGAGACTCCAACAAGTTTCAGGAGCCAATCAGAATCCATGTCTGTGTCCCCGCCCCTTCTCTCTCTCTCTCTCTCTCTCTCTCTCTCTCTCTCT